CATGACCTGTAAACATTTTGACCTATAATGATAAAAATTGCAACTCTTTATGCTATGTAGCCTTCTGTATAAATATGTGTTACAAGTGTGTGTGTGTGTAATCAGAATGTCAGAAATGTCTTGTGCGAATGCATTACGCCTTTGGAGGTTGAAGGTATCGACGCTTACGAATTGTACGGAGTATACTAACGCAAGATCCTATACCAACAACTTCTATAGTGTTTGCTCTTCGTGTACCAAAGACAAAGCAAAAGACCAGATTTAGTCGTCCAAAGTACGTAATATATTTCGGGACCAAATCGTGGGTTGAAGTGAATGCTTAGCTGGCTAGTGATCGTGCACGCACGTGACACGACGGAGTACCAAATGGCGGGGATGCTTGACCGGAAGCCTTCAGCTAAACAAGTCGACTTAAACAGTGATGGTCAGCATCCAATGTTGAGTGATGATTACTGTGGTCAATAATTTTGGGGAATTATTTACCGCTACACGCCTTTCAGATAAATTACGTCTTATTGTTTTATCGAGATTTATGATTGGAACTAAGTGCTTTAAACACTTGATATGTATTTTACCAACAATGCGAAAATTGAATAATTATTTCGTGGAGGATTTCATCATGAGCTGACATCAGTTAGAGAACCACTGGAAAACCTGGGAGTACTGGACAGCTGTTTCGTCCTAGTTTGGGACGAAACAGCTGTCCAGTACTCCCAGGTTTTCCAGTGGTTCTCTAACTGATGTCAGCTCATGATGAAATCCTCCATGCAATCAAACAAAATCCCTACAAAACCAATACTTGAGAATAATTATTTGTCAGCTGAATACTCTACATACAGCTGACGAGTTCTACCGAAATTTGATGAATTCATTAAATCCTGCTTTATTAGCCTTTATTGCTTGTTTTAAATTCGTATCGGGAAATAAATGTTTCCAATTATTTGTCAAATATGTCTCAGATAAAACAGATGATTCAGCTACACAGTTTGTTCTTGAAACACATGACGACGCTACACCATAATTTATACTTTATGCGTGCAAATAACCGGTAGTACTACTCACTTATTTACCAGGAAAAAGTGGTACATTTATATTTTTTACGAGTTGATCACGGACTGATATCAGTTAGAGAACCATTGAAAACCAGGGAGTACTGGACAGCTGCTGTTTCATCCTAGTTTGGGAATCATCGGCAGTACGCACCCACTGGGATTCGAACCGAGGACCTTTCGGTTACAAGACAAGCTCGTATACCATTCAGCCACTGGGACCCGATTCAATAACCCATGAATTCTAACTTCTACCAACCATTTTCGCTGGTGGGACATCCTTCCACACACATTTATATGTTAATACGTATGTGTTTAATAACCTTAAGCCAAGCACACGTACAAAAGTAATACTAACAGATCAAAGCAACCAAGGAAATTCACTGAAGGAATATTACTCCAATGTAAATTACAACAATCCTGAGTTTTCAATTTGTAAAATATTAGACATCAACGTTTACAGACAAAATATAACAAATTTAGTCGCTCTTAATCCTAATCCTATTTAGAATTCCAGTGTGTTTAATGTCAATTTGATGAAAAATTATACAGTTCTGTGACTTTTCTGAACATAAACTATGCTATTGCTGTAGAAAATTATGAAGACCTAATAATAGCAAAGAATATCTGATCATTACACTGCTGTTATAAATGATTGAAGATGAAGTTATGATTTCCTCTTTTCAAGTATTGGTTTTGTAGGGATTTTGTTTGATTGGTTGGAGGACTTCATCATGAGCTGATATCAGTTGGAGAAGCATTGGAGAACCTGGGAGTACGGGACAGCTGTTTCGTCCTAGTTTGGGACTCTTCATCAGTACGTGCCCACCGGTTTAATGGTCTACGAGCTCGCCTTGTAACCAGAAGATCCTGGGTTCGAACCCCGGTGGATGCGTTCTGATGAAGTGTCACAAACTAGGACGAAACAGATGTCCAGTACTCCCAGGTTTTCCAATGGTTCTCTAACTGATGTCAGCTCATTGGCTGGTGAGATACTTTTCAGTTTATCCAACTTCGTAAAATTCCCCTAATAAGTCATAAACAAAAGTAGATATAATGGCGAGTAAAATTCACTTTTCAACGACACATTTTCAAAAGCTGTACAATCGTTTTTATTTTCAGCAAAGAACTAATAGAACCAATCAAATACTAGTAACTATGTTCTAGAAAATATATTATGTAATGTGAGGTGTAATCTAGAGGCGGATGACTAAGTGGATAGGAGAAAAAGGATGGAAGATTGAATTACGCGGTGAGTGTGAGGAAAGATGCCTAATCAATCTAAATGTACTTAGTGTAAAAAAGTTAATGGAAAGATGGTAAAGTATTTGTATAAAATCTGTATAAAAAATTATTATTAATAATAGTTGTCAAAAAATAATAAACTAAAACAATATGATGAATTTAAAATTATTTTAAGAACGTTACCATGACCACGGTAGGGCGAGTGAGTGTATATAGTTCCTTGGGACGCAGAGGTGCTGAGTAGCCAATGATTCGGCTGTGTATGAATGACATATTCGAAGTCCTCTCACATGATATTGAGGAAATGTGTAGCACTGTGAAGCAACGATGTAGGGAAACCTAATGTCTAGAATTTAAAAGGTTTATGTACAGAAAATTAAGGCTGCAAGCAGCTAACGAGAAGCCAACAGAATAAATGTTGGTACCATCTTATTCTGCACGAAGTGCTGTTCTTGCTTTATTCAAATTCATAAAGAGGAATAAACGTTTGAAATTTATAAGGTGTTCGAGGATAGAACTATTGGTGTTCTTCTTTCCTTCTCTGGCTGGCTCAGCTGAGCAGTGTTCCAGAATAAGTTTTCAAAAATGACACTGCGTGCGGCCAATATATTAAATACACATTGGGGTGGCCAAAAGTGATCTTATCCTTAACACCTGACTGGATCAGCAGTTTGTTGGAGAATGTGATTCGGAAGATGGCTGCTTAAATATCTGCCAAAATCAAATCTCTCCGAATTAGAAGACATTGAAAGGTCACACATTATATCACACTGAAACCAACCACTTGCGTTTGCCTGGACTGGGAATTAATATAACACAAACAGCCCATGCATCGTATGAACTATCTGAAGAGGAACGAACAAATTTCAGGATTATATATCCAATGTTATGCAAAAACGCTGCGAAGACACTAGTTCATTACAAAAAATAAACTCTTTCAACATTTCCACAGGAGCGTGAAACATATATCTGCAATTACTCAAACTTTTCTCTCACTCCCACTTAACTTCAAGTCCTATCACTTGGTCCGCAATTCTGCAGTGTGTCCAGAAAAATCAGTGAATTACAGACAAAAGTTCAGTTCGAGAATTCAATCTCCTAGACTACTGATTTGTCACCTAGTCCCGAGGAAGATCTCGAGCAGTTCAAGGCTTCAATCCTTGATAACTCTACAAATACATGTACGCACGACCCACTAACTAAGAAAACAACTTCAGGTGAATAAGGACATAAACCTTATTCGTCCAAACAAGGGCAATAGAATATTAATAATGAACAGATAAAGATTATGTTGGAAAGTTAACAAACCTACTTTCAGACAATATCAATTTCTTCAAATCCTCATCCTGAAAGACAACAGAAATAGCAGAAAATCTTACAAAATTGCTGAAGAAAATGAAGGAATAGTTAGTCATAGCCTTAGAGGTGTATGGACAAATAAGACCATGCAACTCATTTATTCCAAGGCTATATGAACTACATAAAGTGTCTAAGAAGGATGTTCCACTTAGAACTATTATAGACATGGTCAACCCACCATATCATCAGATCGCGAAATGGCTTGCAGATATACGCGAAGCGATAAGAAGACGTGACAAGATATAATCTTAAAGACACACTTGGTCTCATCAAATCGGTGGAAGATGTTAGTGTGTTTGAAATACAGATTCTCTCGCCAGATTTTACATCCCTGATCACAAACATTCAGTTCAAATTCAATGGACAACCCTACATGGAGAAATATGCTGTGGCTATGGGGTCTCCTCTTGGTCCTCTCTTAGCTGACTATTTTATGGAGAGTCTTGAAATCAACATTCTCTATACTTTGACCAATAAATTGGACCTCTGCAAAATATATGTAGATGATACTTTTATCAATTGTAATTAAAAATGCGATCTAGACAATCTCCTCAACACTTTCAACGCAGCACACCCTTCAATAAAATTCACGCTAAGACCTGAATGAAACATGCCATTTGCATTCCTAGATGTTCTACTCACAAATGGATTCAAAAATTAGTATACCGAAAACCAGCACAGACATCCTTAATAGTTATTCAATATCAGCTTTTTTAAGTAAAGAATACCATAAAGAATCTTCATTAATTCTGATTTCGTTTTCTTTAAGCGTAAAGAAAAGAACGTTGGCACTTTTGTTTTTTACTATGTAACATTAGAATTTATTCCACACATTCAATTGAAATGCCATTTCACATCTTCAGTAGCAATGAAACTACTGACTTTTGACCTATTTAAAGGTCGCTTTCTCCCATCTTTCAAAGACCATGTTTGGCATGCTTGTTGTGCTGAGTTGGATGATTGAGTCTGACGTTAAACGTCAGTATTATCTGTTCATATATATATATATATATATAAGTATATATATATACTGTTCCTTGTTTTTATAGTCCATTACTTCGAATATTTCTACTAGATCACTTCATTCGTCTCATCCTGACTGTTTCACTAACCTTGGTGTGACACATGTAGCAGGCGAAATCAAATGGAGTAAAATCCTGTTTTATTATAACTGAATAAATGAGTGCAAGTTTGTTTACCAGATTATAAACTATATCTGTTGTGTAAATACTACCTAGCTAAGAATGGTTCAAAATTATTACTTAGTATCTGATTTATGCAAGTAGTAAACACTATAAATTTCTCCTACATATATACATATATGTAATAGAAAATAAAACTTATATTATTGACTAACATAATAATTAATAAAAGCATTAATAATGACAATTAATTGAGGAGTGAATATTTCTGGATTATCAGGGAACATAAATTATAACAAAGAAACTGACAGGTGGATGAATTAAACTTTGCGGCGCTTTCTAACAGACACAAATACACAAAGATAATACACTCTCATAAAATGATAAATGAAACAAGTGTTTATAAAAACATTAAAGTCCATCAAAGGTACTGTTCAATAATGGCATCAATTAAATTTAACAGTAGGTTTATTCAAGGAGAACCAAATGAAGCACTGGAAAATACACATGTATACATACAAAAACTCAAAAGTATTTTCATTGAAGCTTATCTTTAAAAACTGTACTTTCTTCTGTACAGAAATAAAGGAGTAATAAAATTAATATATTGCCCATTTTCTTCTTCTTGTTTTTTTTTCTCTCTCACATAATTTAATTAACAACATTTGGATTATGTGATGTATTATTACTGAAAAATTAAGTCATCTCTTCACTTTCAGACGACTGTTCATTTTCTTGTTTACAATCATTTAATTCTTTATGATACTGTTTCATTAATTCAAGCACATTAGTTGTAGAATATGTACCTGCTGGTTGAAAACGCGTAAATGATGCAGGTCTAGACGTACTTACTGAAACTGATCCTTTAGAAAAATCGACTAATGAATGTATTGTTGTCAAACTAAGTCTACTATGTACATCTTGATGTTGTTGTGGTGGTGTGTCATTTGATGTTCGTGTACTGTTATCTGCAGTATCAACACTTTCGTCGAAATTACTATACACTGGATAATATGAAAGCCATGGATCAAGTAACAATTCATTGGCAGAAGATCGATAGGCTGGATCAATAGTCAGTAGACGTATTAAACATTCTTGACATAATGGTGTTAAATAATCCAATGATTGTATTTTCTCATGTATATTAAGATTATTTAATTCCTTTATTAATTGTTCTTCATTATGAGCAGTAAACGGTGATTGATCCGTTAATAGAATAAACATCAATATACCTAGACTCCATAAATCACATTGACGTGTATATGATCGACCATTTAAAACCTCTGGTGCCATATAAAGTGGTGTACCACATGGGTTAGCTAAGGCTTCTTCATTTTTACGTACTTCGACAGCTAAACCAAAATCGATTAATTTTGTTTGTAATTCTCTTGGAGGATATTTCATTTCACATTCAACAATTTTACCATTTGTTTTAAATGTTCTATTCACTTGAAAAGATTTACAACTAACACTCGTTTTTTCATCTTTGTCTAAAGATGAAGAATCTTGAACTGAGTGAATGGATACTCTTTTTGTAGATTTTATGGTTTTATTTCGAACAGAACTACTAGTTGTTGTGATTGTAGGCATGACTAATTTTCCAGCATTTGAAAATGTATCATTATCAATCTCCATATGTTCAAATTTTGTTTTATCATTTTTAATAGAAGAATCTGAAATAATTTTATTATTAATTTGGTGTTTAGGAGAATATTTGAAATTCACCGGAGGTACATTTCTATAGTCCAGTTCAACTTTGTTTAATAACATAATATTACCAGGTTTTAAGTCTCTATGTACAATACCTCGATTGTGAAGATAGGATAATGCTGAAGCTACTTGTCTTACAATAGCTGCTACAATATACTCATGTAATCCAGATCTTTCTGGTAATTGTTTAATACAATAATCTAGTGAATTTCCTTCACATAATTCAGTGATTAAGAAAATAATTTTTGGAGATTCAGCTACAGCTAAAAGTTGAATGATTCCAGGATGTCTAACATGCCGTAGAATAGAAATTTCACGATCCAGTCGAGCACGTTCACTTGTTGAGGAACTTTCACGTGAAATCTAATCATAACAAAATAAAGCAAGAAAACAATTATATACCAGTTAAGTTTTGTTGTGTTAGAAAAAGAAAACAAATTTTTTATAATTAGTGTAAATGGTTTTGCTAATGTTTTTTACGTACGCATTTGTCTTTGACTAGTATACGATGTGTCATTATTCAGAGGCGGTAAAGTAGCGCGATCGACTGTCCACACTGAATTCTTTGTCATGGTTGAATAATAGCTGGAAGTCATATCATTAACCTAATGGTTGTATTTAGTTTACAGGGCCGAAAAATTACATAATCATCAGAAAGACAACCAGAGTAATGCAATGAATTACGAAAAGTGATTACTTACGACCATAGAGTGATGCAGATAAAAAGAGCATGGATTGTGAAATTAGGAAGAAATGGAAAGACTACAACGTGTGGCTACAAAAAAACTGTCAACTTCGAAGGTTCATTTGGAAAAACATGAAAGTCAAGTTAAAGTCCAAAGCGTTGAGTTTGAAAACAATAGTGACATAGATATTAAAGAACCAATTGTCCAATATCTTATATAATGAGCTCAGGTTTGTCTTCATCAGCCTACAAGTACTTCGTGTGTGAATAGACAATAAGTTGCCGTTTTAAACTGCCTGACTGTGTTTGTAGATGAAACTAGTTATAAATATAATGAAAACCGAGCAATTTATATATGCAACTCAAAATGCTTTACAGCATGAGTGTTAAGAAGGCGACGTAAGTTAATCACTAGCTCAGCTCTTGAACATATGGTAAGCTCAAAAATTTCATCTCCTTCAAAATTATTCACAAGATAAGACAGATAGATTCTGAAGACGTAGGCGTTAGTCATGTTTCATTTCAAGACAGAATTTTTTGTGGAGAAAAAATTTGTTGAATGTCTCGTTTCCCCGGAGTAGTAAAATCCTCCTCAATTGCTGGGTTATATGGTAAGTGATTAATCTTATTACTATCAGACCTAGAATATTCGTTGCGTACTTTACATTTTTATTCACCCTTAAATTTTGCAAGTGAACACTCAACCAACTTGCTGCATATTCATTAAAAGTTTTCATCTTACCAATTTTCGTATTCTTGTGACCATCATCGCTTTTGAATAATTCGGAATCAGTATTTGTTACTCTACCTTATTAATTCTGTTTATTTTGTTGATTACTGCAAATTCTTTTGTCTCCAAAATCCAAGTTTGGGTCACTGTGTTAGTAATAATGCTATATTTTCATCAATTCAATACTTAGAGATAAACCACTTAGTAAATGTGATTGAGTTGGTTAAGACCGATTTTTAATTCATGACGTAAGAATATATATATATATATATAATGTAAATTAATAAGTCATCCAAAATGTGCCGCACACATACATAGCATCTTTAGGTAGAGTTTCCCCTTCAAATTATTTGAATCAATAACAAGAATAAACAGTTTCCTATAAAAGTCTAGATAACCCTTTCATATTAAGTTATCTAACCATCTTTCTTGCACAGTTTCATTTGTAAGCTGTTGCATTGTTATATTTCTGTTCTCGAATTCTTTGTAAAATTTTCCCAGAATGTTTCAAACTCAGCTGACGCATTTCCATACAGAGTTCTGTATTGATCTCTTTGTCAGATAATCCAGGTGGTGATTAAAACAATAATAACAATAATAATATTACTCAAACATCGAAATGTGAACGCAAAAAACACAAGAAAAGATGATTAAATTAGTTATTTGCAGCAATAAATGAGAAGTGTTTATTTTCATCTAAATAAGATAAACAATTATTGTTTTAATGCAGTATTTTTCTAATTTAGCCTTATACCAACATGAGGTAGAGTTAACATACACAATACAAAGACGATATATATTCATATATATAAGTATATATCATGATTTCTACTCTTTTGTCAAGTTGGTTTTTATAAATAATCAATTTCAGTATAGTAGGATGCCTGATTTGCGTGAATTGTAGCTTTACAGTTTAATAGATTTTTCGAAGTATTTTTTGTTACAGAAAAACTGGCAGACCAGAACAGAACATTATTACCTTTCAGAAGAAAACTAAAGAAAAAATGAGTTATTTGAACTCATGAAAGAACTTGAAGATATCAAAATCACCGAAAGAATCTATCAGTGATGTCAACAGATTACATATAAAAAAGACCACTGAAAAATGCTTTGGATGTAGTAGTGAATGGTGATAGTCTAAAAAGGCTGAAAACAAATGTCTGTGGAAGAGAAAATGAATATTATTTTTTTCGCATTTGTTGGTTATTTGAACATTTCAGTGAATTAAAATAACATCATCTATCTTATAGGTAATGATGAAAATATTTATGAAATTTCGGGGAGGGGATGTAGACACTAACACCAGTCGTGTTCATCATATAAGAAGTTGGGCGAATGTATTTCACAAACAGACTCATTAAAATGAAGGGCTTTATTAATCTGGTTATTATGCATATAAACCGTTTTGTTTCATCTAAGTAAAACACTAAAGAAAACCACCCCGTAGATCTTATAGATATTATGATTTACAGAAGGCAAAAGCAGTTTGGGATATTTCTAAAATGTCTGACAGTTATGTAGAAAATAAACTTGATAGATGATTGTGAAAACAGAAGAGTTAAGAAAATAGATTAAAACTTTGCATTAAAGGGATTATTATTCATAAAAATTCGAAAAACCGTATCTTAAAGGAGAAGAAAGCACTTTCGCAAGTGGACAAAGGGAATGATTTCATGTAGTGGTATCATGAAAGAAGGGTCAAACGAAGCCACCTGGGAGAGTTTTAGAACAGCCAATATTCGTACTAAATTAAAATTCATAGGACTTATTGGAAATAAATTAAATCGAATAAAAGAATTGGACGATATTAACGTAGAATCTGCAGTATTCTGATTACACTCCTCAGTCACTTATCTCAGTCAGATATTGAGATCTCTTAATGCTTTACTCAACGACTATCTGTAAGTAACGTAAATTAAGCCCAGGGGAAAACAAGACTGGATAAATTTACTCAGAAACCCACCTTCAATGGAAGAGGAATGAAAAAAGAAATGCTGTATTTTCGGAATGACGACTGCATAAACGATTGCAATGTAAACTAACAGAATACTACACTAACGGGGACATTTTCATTTACATATAAAACCTTTAAAAATACAATGACTGAATCAATGTGACTGTCAACATCAGAGAAAATTGTTTCAGATAAACCACATAACTTATAAAATAAAAAAAAACACCATGTTATTCATCATATTTATCTAAAAATGATAGGACGCAAACTTGCGACAGCTGACTTTATATAAAAAGGAGGTAGTAACGTTGCTCGAAATACTAACAAAATTAAAGATTATTGTTAAGTGCAAACACTCAGTAGAAATTCATTTATTCCAACAGCATTTAAATTCTGAAAAGCCATTAGTCACAGGATTAAATGAGCTGATAAAGAAACAAATTGCATTAGGTATGAGGTGGATAGTTATGAATTTAGATTTTTTCATGTTTGTTTGACTGAATACATATTGCACAGAAGCAAAGGGACAAAACGGTTTCAGCCACTAAATATGAACAGTACTCATATATTTAAGATAACAATATTCGAATAAGGCATTTAGAAGACAAATTTCACGAGATGATATCATTTCGTAGTTTCTCTACAATCGCTTTACAACTAGCGTGGTTCACAATAATAAAATGCATGACAATTACTCAGTTATTTAAAACAAAATATATACTAATGACCAATCATATTTAAATAGATCAAGTATTCTATGGTGGGCGAAGGTTGAGGTTTATTGTTTTATGTACACAAAGGATATATATGATTAATCCAAAGTGCTTCCATCACCTTTAATAACCTTGAGTTAGAGCTGTGTGAAACAATTGTGAAGCAGTCATTAATCTTGATTTTGTGACCTGGCATTAACAAGTGTTTTGCAATGGATGATGATGGATTTCTTTTCAGATTAATTGCAATGGGATTTTCTGTATGTTTTAATAACCATTTTGGAACATGTTCTTTTCGGCGACATTAGAACATTCTATTGGTTCTACTGTGGTGAGAGCTGTCTACTAGCCAAAATTGGTAGATAGCAATTTACGTCCCAAATCTTGGTCATGAGAAAAAAAAAAAACATGGACTAACGCAACAACCAATCACAGCAGACTTTGCTTGGGCGGATACGATTCGCGGATATATGGTCTGACCTTCAAAGATACGACAGAATAACTTTCAGCGGGAAAACAACCAATCAGAAGACGCTGCTTCACTGCTAATAATGACCTATAATAATGTACATGAAAATCTATAAATATCTGTTGATTTTCTCAATAAACGATCTGATGCCTGGCCCTTGTCTTCTGTCGTTACACTACCTATATAGGTGTCACCGCAACTCCAGTTGTACTAAGAGATATAGTTTGAAGTAGAGTCCACAGAATTTCGTCCTTTAATTGCAGGTAGAGGGATCGAAAACGTTCGAGATGTAAGGGAAAGAGACGTGGCATAGAATATGCGCCCGACAGCTGATCGAAGTCTTTGAGCTGTCAGCTGCATAATTAGATCACCCTAGAATGGTAGGTTAATAAAGATAACTTTCTTTGGTACAGAAGCTGTCTTTTCAAGATGTGGTCTATCTTTACTGTGACAATCGATAAAGTTTTCTGGATAACCATTAGCTAATAAAACTGAATATATGTGTCGTATGTCATCCATCAATGTGTCGCTCGTGCATATTTTGCGGGCCCTTGAAAACAAACATTTCACTAGGGAACATTTATACTGGACAGAAAAAATAGGAAATGATATCATTTCGTGAAATTTGTCTTCTAAATGTCTTATTCAAATTTATCAAAGTGACTAAATGTTTTAATGACAACATTCAACGAAAAGACTGCTTTTAACGAATTTATAATCAAGCATACACAGCTTATATAGTTGACTAAAACTGAAAGCTTAATTTACTATACACTTTAGAATAAACACATTGTGTGCATTAGTGGCTGAAG